TTGCTCTTTACCCAGTACCAGCTCGGATTTCAGGGTCCACTAGGTTGACCTTCCACTAACATCCTCACCTCACCTGCCCCGTTGTCTCCCCATTGCCCATTCCAGGTGGGGCTCCGTCTGAGGCCTGCATCTCAGGCCCCGTGTGCTGTTAAAAAAAGAGCCCAGGGTTGACCCTGCCCGTGCCTCTGTTCCTGCCTGGTATCCGGCCTCTTGCGGGCTCCAGGCTTCCGGCCATCTTGCTGTTTCCTTGGCTAGATTCCCCTCTCCTCCTGAGCAGCCCCTTGACATGGCATCAGCATCACAGAGAGAACAGTTGTCAGCCAGGGCCTCCCTCCTCTTCCTGCTCCAAACTTACCTGGTCTGCATTCTTTCTTCTCCCCTGTCAAAGTGGCATCGGAAGCCCAAGGCCTCCATCATGGGCCCTGGAGCCACCCTCCCTGCCTCTTCACTCAGGGATGTTAAGAACAGCCTCTTCTCTGCCTTCTGTCTTAAACTTCTGGTTCTGTCCACATTCTATCAACCCATCGCATCTCTCCCATCTTAAAAAGCTGCTCAGTCGCAAAGACAGGTTGGTCCCACCCTCCGAATGTCCATCAGATGTGTTGTGTTTCACTCCGTCCCGACAGCCACCCCTTTGTCTGGGCCCCCATCATCTCCCATCTGGGGATGCCATTCACCCCCCAAAGAGGTCCCCTGTCCCTGTTTTTGCCTCTCCCAGTTAATTCCCTACGATGCGGGTAGAATGACTGTCCTAAATCACAATTCCGACCAGGCCATTCCTCAGCTTAAAATCCTTCACTGGCGTCCTCCTCACTGTAAGCAATGGTGTCACCCACTATGGAGCTGCTGAAGCCTGGGACTGGCCCAGGGCCCCTCCCTGGGTGCACCCTTGCCTCTCGGCCATGAACGCTTGGGTTCAGGCCCCACAAACTCTCCATTTCCTTGAGGAAGCCAAGTTCTCTCGTCTCTGGACCCTCCTCCTGCTCTTCCTTCTTTGTGGGATACCCTTTCTTCTCCATCTCTCTAGCTTGGCCTGCTGCTTCTCATCCCTCAGGGGCCAGCAGAAATGGCCCTTCTGGGACTGACTGGACATTTCTTCTGATTCGTTCTCTCCTAAAGCCAACTCCCAGCTCTACATTGCAGCCAGCCAGGCCCAGATCCTATTCTGGGCAGAGTACTTCCCTCATTAAAAGCTTTCCATGCTTCTCATTGTCCTGAGGACAAAGTCCAAATTCCTCAGCTGGGCTGACACAGCCATTCCACAGACCAGAGGAAAGGTGGTGTGGGGGGGTGTTTGCTGGGATGTGAAAGTCATGGAGAGAACTTGGGGGCCGCTGTGGAAGGAGGAGCTGACCAGGGAAGATTGTGTAACTGATGAGTACAACTGGGGACCAGTTGAGATGGGTGGTGGTGACACCAGGTTGCCTGGCCGTGTGGATTTCTCTAATAACATTTCACCATGAGGCAGACAGGTGGATTTATCCAAGGGCGGGGATTTGCTGGAAAGTGGGACCAAGGGATGGGGGACTAAGGAGTTGAGGACTCTGTCAAGGAGTGGGTGAAATGATGGGTCATGGAATCTTAACTAGAAGGGAGACGAAGACAGGAGGGGCCAGTGGATGGCTGCTGGCAGTGTGGACTGAGATGGGAAATCAGTGAGATGCTCTGAGCAAACAAGCCGGAGGTGGGAGGTTGTGGGAAGTCAGCCCTAGTGATTGCAGAAATAGTAGCATTTCTGCCCTGCCTGTGCCTCAACCCACCTCCTGCCCAGACCCACATTATAAGCTACGTTATAGCTGCGTGTGGTGGTGTTACTTCCCCAGCCCTTTGGAACTGCTCTCAGGGGCAAAGTCCAGATTCTTCATCTGGCATCCTTCCCAGGAGAGCTCAACAAAGGCCTTGCCTATGGTGGCTGCTTACTCGGACATGTGTGCTGTATAACCCCTCCCCTCCCCTTTCTCTAGGACTGTGTTTCTGTTTTCCTTTAGTTTTTTGTTTTTGTTGTAGCATGCTATTTGTTTGTTTTTCTCAAAGAAACCGTCTGCCTCTTGTTTGGGTTTTTTAAAAAGTAATCTCTAGGCTCAACATGGGGCTGAAACTCATGACCCCAAAATCAAGAGTTGCAGGGCCCACCAACTGAGCCAGCCATGTACCCTTCCTTTAGTTTTTTAAAAGAAACATCGTAAAAGAGTCTAACCTTTATTCAGCTGCAAAAGAGCGGGACTTCTCCCCACGTTACAGGATGGAGGGGCAGTCTGTGGTCCTTCAATGGCACTGGAGGTGATGAGAATGGGAGCCCCAGAATAGGGAAAATTTGGGGGCAGGAAGATTCCAGGCCAATAGTGGACAGTGGCCTAAGTTCCCAACCCGTCCCTGTTCTGGGTAGGTCTCTTCCTGATCCTCGCATACACATTGCCATCCAACCAAGCTGAGTCCTTCATCCATGCAGCAAAACTACTATGTGTCAGGCCCACCTTGGGAGCGAGGGACATACGGATGAGTAACACCACAATCCCGATTCGGGAGACAGGCACACAGGGAAAGAATTCTAGACTGGTGCCTACAGTTGTGGGTCCAGGCATAGAGAATGGGCAACTCATTAGTTTCAGGGGTCAGGGTTGGGGAAGATGCCTAGAGAACTGGGTCTTGAAGGGTATGAAGGCAAGGAGAAGAGAGACAGAAGCCTGGGAGAAGTGAGAGGACCTGGGACGGTCACGACAGTTCCGTGCGGCTGGCTCCTGGGCTGCTTTGAGGTGCGAGAGCGGCCAGATCATGTCGGGGAGCCTGTGCGTTAGAGTGCGTGCCATGGGGGATCGGGCAAGGACTTGAACGTTTTAGGACAGCCCTGGGGTGCCACCTGGAGCTTCCCAGGTATAGTCTGAAACTGGCCCTCGTACGTGGAGCGCAGGAAGAGATGAGACACAGAGACAGGCCACTCTAGATCGGTGGCTCGCAGGTGTAATGGGTAAGGGAACTGACTTATGAGGTTTTCTTGGGTGGCTACAAGACAAGGAGATCTCTGGACCTGCCTGTCAGGTCTTGAAAGTTTATAGAGGCCTTCAGTGGGTTCAGTCTCATGTGCCATTCCGATAGTCTCCACACAACACAACTGTCTCAAGGCTGTATTCCTGGGGCAGCTTCCAGGAGCTGGAAAGTCAAGTGGGACACACATCTGAAGGACAGGCGAAGGGGTGGGGAACTTCCCATTGCCTGGGTCCAGCTCATGGGTCAGCTGGCGGTCACATTCCCCTAACCCCATCACCTCCCCTAAAGTCACTGGCTCAAGGGTGTGTGTTGGGGTTGGGAGGGAGATGAACTGAAGAAGAAAAGAACAAAAGCAGGGAGTCCCAGGGGGAGGCTGCAGAAATCAGGCATGGATGGAGAAGGTGCTAGGAGTGAGCCCAGAGAGCTGGGCGCCCCACGCACATGTGTCTGGGGAGTCCACAGGTGGTGATGTGGTCACTAGACCCCGAATAAGGAAGAAACGAGGGTGCCGTCGGGGACCATGCTGTGCTTTCTAGCCTGGGTGCTGGGTGAAGGCCACAGGAGCTGGTTCAGGATGAGGACGAAGGGGATTGGATGTTGAATATGTGGGGTCGGAGATGCCATAGTCCCCGGGCAGAGGTTCTGCTGCTCTGGTGGTCCTGGACATGGCTTCTTGTTTCCACTCACCTGGCTCCCTCCTCGGCAGGCAACACCCTTCCATCATCCATCAGCTCAGCGTTTTCTCCAGGAAAGCCCCTAGATCTTGGCCCCTGAAAACAATTTTCTCCCCGTCAGAACCCAGATAGCTCTATGCTTAGCGCCCCTTGGAGTCCTGTCCGGTGTCCCTGCCTCTCTTGGCTCCCTGGCAGGGCTTCGGGGCACCTGACCTTGGATGTTAGAGGTGATCGTTGCCACCCAGGAAGTTCTGTGCCGTAGAAGGGCGATCCCTTCCAGGGCTGACCCCAAGCAGACAGTGACTCTTACAGCGCAGGGGGGTTTCCAACAACCCTTCCGTGCCTCGGGTTGGGGGGGCAGGTGGGGGTGGGGTGCAGAGGGAGGCCATCCAGTGCAGCAAGTACACAGGCCAAGATATCCCAGTCCCAGAGGTGAGATAGGGAAATGTGGCCTCCAGGGGGAACCAGCTGATGAAACCCCAGTGCTTCAGGATTTACCTTGAAACAGTGCAGGAGCAAATGTGAAGGATTCGGGGTACACTCCCCCTGCCCCAGACCAGAAACCCACCACCTTCCCAAAGGGAAGCCCCTCCTCCCCCCAGCTTGCCCGCACAGTACCAATGAGGAGAAACCACACGCCTGACTGGGGACATGGCACCTTTGTCAGCTAGAGGGAGACACAGAGTATTTATTACCTGTAGAAGGGCAGTTGTTGGGGGGTTGTTGGGGAGGCGGAAGGAAGGTCTCTAGGTGAGATGGCCAGGGACAGACAATCACCATGACAGTGGCCATCACTTTTATTGCACACCTGCCATGTGCCTGGTCCCTCCACACACGATGGCATGTGGTCCTCACGATCCAGTTCACAGCACATGACTGTGACTCTCCAGAACCCAGGGCTCAGAGAGGTTCAGTCACTTGCCCCAGGCCCCAGCTGGTGAGTGGCAAATGGGGGGATTCCAGTCCAGTCCGGCACTTTCTGGAGCCTGTGTCCTTTCACTTTGTCACCTGTTACTCTCCTCAGTGAACAGGTGCCGGGATGGTCTCCGGGCTAGGCAGGTCTCTCCCAGAAACTCCCTGACAGGTGTTACAAGGCAGGGTTGCATCTGAGGGGTGTCGGGAATAAGGGCCAAGAGTCTTCAGGGATCCCAGAGAGAGTCAGGGTCACCCCCCCACTTCTGAGGAGACACCCCCATGCCTTCCTGTGGCAAGGGGGCACGTGGGCTCTTCAGCACAGGTCACGCAGCCCTACAGAGGGTCAGACAGTCCTGGGGAGATGGATAGACTCGCACACTCCCTGGCATGTGTCTGTGTAAGCACACGCCCACCCACACGCACCAACAGCCTGGCACAGCCCTGTGGCTGCTGGGGCGGGGGGCGGAAAGGGGAATTGGGGCTTAGTCAGATGAGGCTGGCGATGCTGGACGTGGTCTCGTGACGCTGGCCAGCAGACAGCTGGCCCGAGATGCTGAAGGTGCTGCCGTGGCCGCCGTGGTCACCGGGGGTGGCGGGGGCGGCTGCGTGGAGGGGAGGACAGTGTCCGCTCAGGCCCACCTGGTACAGCAGCAAGCCCAGCAGCAGAAGTGAGCCTGCGGCAGCCAGGCCAATGCCCACTGACAGCATGGCAGCCAGCGGCCGGGCCGGGGCAGGGGCAGCGGCCAGCCCGGCCAGCGTCAGGCCAGTGACCAGCACCACCAGGCCACTGAGCAGCACCACGAGCGCATCGGCCCCTCCGCCGCTCCGCAGCAGGGCCACGTGGTGGGGCTGGCGAAGACAGTTCATGTCCTGCACCGCCGAGCTCATCAGCTGCTTGACCAGCACCAGCAGGGCCAGCAGGCAGAGCACTGTGCCCGTCGCCAGCCGCCACTCACCGGAGCGGCTGCTGGTGGAAGACAGCAGTGCCACGCCACCCGCCCCACAGCCCGCCACCAGGACCACGGCCACGGCGAAGCAGAGTGCCGAGCGCCGTGGCTGCTGGGACCACCATAGCTCTACCTGCTCTCCCAGCATGTCTGGGGGCAGCCCCCCCGGGCCTGGCGGGGCTGGAGCCTCTCCTTCAGACATGGCCAGGGGGCGGGGGAGAGGGCAGAGGGCAGTGTCAGGGGTTAGAGGGTGTGGGTCATGGCCTAGAGCCCCCACCACCTGCTTGGCAGCTAGAGGCCCAGAGTCCCGTTCCTCTCCCCGTCCGGGGTGTGGTCACCATCACCTGCAGGGGGGGATCACACCTGTTACCTCCCCAAACAACTCACCCTTTATGGTCTCTCCTGGGAACCTTGGGGATGATCCCTGGGACTCCTCCCCAGTGTCCCCTGACAGCCCCCTCCCCAGCACTGCCACTCAGGAATGCTTCTCCCAGGAGAGTTCCCCCACATAACACATCCCCCACCCCCTCCAGGGAAGCCCCTGGCCCAGCCCCTGACCTCTCTGGCTCTCTCAGTTGCCTGTCCCATCCCGGCTGGTCGAAGGAGCTGGTGTCACAGTGGATGATAGGACCAAGAGCAGAGATAAAGCCTCATTCAGGATCTGCCTCACATGGCCTCAGCTGTCACGGATGGCTCCTGGGGGGAGGGTTGTGTGTGGGGGGGAGGGGGCTTATGACTTAACCCTTCTGGAACCAGCAGCCTGACCCTGAACCTTCTTTCTTGGGACTACAGCTACTTCTCTGTGGGTCAGGATGTAATCCCTAACTCTTCCCTTCCCCCATATCTTACCTGATTTCCTACCCACAGCTGCTGGTGCCCCATCCCTCTCTCCCCCAAACCCGGATCTCCCTCCTAAGCTCCAGACTCATAAGCCAATCGTCACCTTCATGTTCCCTAGTCCTCTCTGATGCAACACTTCCCTGCCCAAGCTCTGTCATCTTAGCCTAGACCTCCTCCTCTCCTGTTCCTTACTTCCTTGTGAAGTGCATGTCCCAGGGAGGCTACCTGTAAACCTCTCTCCACACAGTCTCTGCTTCCATCCCCGTGCATCCTGCCACATTATCCCCACCCAAGCCCCTCTTCCTGCCTCCTTTCTTCATTCTCCCTCTCACCAATGCCCCCATGCCATCCTTCTCCTCCACCATTATTCTAAAGTGGAGCAAACGGAGGAGGGCTCTGTCCTTGAACCCCAGCTGCTGTCCTTACCAGCCATGGGACTCTGATGAGGGACCTGACAGTGGTTACTCATTTAACATTTAACCTTCCTCTAGAGGCCAGCCAACATGATTCAAACTGGGCAAAATAAAGCAGCCATGGTCCCTGCCTTCAAGGAAAGCCAGCTTACAGCAGGTGCGTATATGTGATTAAAGCCCCGAGTGAGGGAGTCAGAAGAGGGGCTCAGGGGAGAGTCAGAGAAGCCCCTCTTAGAGCCTCAGTCTTCCTAATGGAAAATGAGGACGATAATATTTATCTTGAAGCATGGGGGCGAGTCATTTGACATCTCCGCTTCAAATGCATAGATGTCCAAAGAACTCTTTAAAATAAAAGAATACATGTTCTCTCCTCCAATTCAGGAGAGGACTTCTGCTTTATACATAGGATGCGGGTCGTGGGTCATTCCAGGAATATGATGAACGTGGCCCTCCAAGGATTAACACCCCGATGAGTGGTCCTTCCCCACCCCTCTGCAAGGGCAGCCACGCACACAGGGTAGGAGCAGGTGCAGATGCCCCCAAGGGAGGTGGGGGAGGGGCCTTAGGAGTGGACCAGGACTGAATCCCAGCATTCCTCAGGGCTGTGACTTCACTGGTCTGAAGGTGCTAGCACAGGTGTGCTGGGACAGTGGGGCCAGGCTGGGGGTGGGGTGGAGGTTCTCAGGCAGAGCCAGGGGGGAGAAGGTGGGGGCGGTGGGGATCAGGGGATCATGGGGGACTCACAAGAAGCCTGGAAGTGCTGGATCCGATCAAAGCAGGCTGGGCCAGGCAGGTGGGGCATTCCAGCTCCGTTTCCGGGGAGGTGCTTCACCTGCCTAACCTGTGTCCAGGTAAGGCCTGGGTGTGTGTGTGGGGGGGGGGGGGGAGGGGGATCAACAGGTGTTTCCTAGGCAGGGCTTGAGCCGATTGGCTGACGTGGCACAGCTCCATCTGCCGGGCTGAGGCATTCCAGGGAAGGGAGGGGCTTCTGTCTGCTGCTGTTAGGGCTCCAACACAATTCTCAGATCTGGGCAGTAGGAGGAATGTTGTCTATCTGCCCCAGAGTCCGGACCCTAACCCATCGCCCCAGCTCCAAGCCCAGCTCAGTTTTAGTTCTATCCTAAACCTAATCCCAACCCCAGGTGCACTTTCAAACCCTAATTAGATTTCCTAGCAACCCCTAGCCCACATCTCAGCCCCAACCCCCAGCCCCATTTCCAAATCCAATTCCAGCCCCAGCTTCAAATCCCAACCCCAAATCTGGCTTGAAACCTCAGCTCCAACTCCTCACCCCAGCCACAGGCTCCATATTCTGGAATTAGATCCTAGACTACAACCTTGACTCTTGTTCCTGAATTCAGCCCCAAATCCCAGCCCCAGACTCGAATCCTGCCTCAGCCCCAAATCCCAATACCAGCTGATCCCCAAACCCAGGCCCAGTACCCTCATCCCTGGATTGGAGCCCATACAAGCCCCTTGCTCTGTTTCCTTTAAAGCCCCAAGTGCCTAGGTTGGCCTCCTGGACATGGCTCCTGCTGGGGGAGGTGGGACTTGAACCCAACCAAAGGGGAAAGGCTTTTCAGGTGTGAAAAACAACCTCCCTTCCTTAAAACTCTTGCAGAACAAACCCTTCAGGGTATCCACCACACTCCTTTGCTGGGCTTGAGTAGCCCCTGCCATCTATGCCAGGCCAGTCATTTGCCACTGGCCTCTGCCCTCCAGCCAGATGGCATGCCCCGCAGTTCTGTGTGCTCTGTCCACTGCTTTGCCCTTCCAGTGGGTTTTTGAAGTCAGAGTTCCCTTGCATAGGGTATTTGCTACCATCCAGCCTCAGTCTGGCCAACTCAAATTCTTCAACTGGAACGTCACCTCCAGGAAGCCCTTTGGGACTTCCAGGTGGGTTTAGGTGCCTCTGGTACACCCACGGCCCCTGTGCTTGCTCTGCAGCTGCTCTTACCTGAGCCTGTGCTGTAATTGCCTCTATTTACCTACTTGTCATCCCCCATGACACGGGGGTCTTAGTGTCTGTTTCTGCTAACCACCTGACCATAGTAGGCAGCATTTTGCCTGGCATGTGGGAAGTAATGATAAATATTTGTCGAATGAGTGAATGTGTGAAGTGATAGGGGCAGGCAGTGTGCGAGATAAGGCTGGAAGGACAAGTTTGACAGGTTGCACCGGGACTCAGGTGAGGCATTTGGATTCATCTGAGGTGCCCTGGGGGATTCTGAAGTGTCCCAGAGATGTGGCCGGGGCCCTGCTTCTTCTTCTTCTTCTTTTTTTTTTTTTTTTCCAAATATTTATTTATTTGACAGAGAGACACAATGAGAGAGGGAACACAAGCAGGGGGAGTGGGAGAGGGAGAAGCAGGCTTCTTGCTGAGCAGGGAGCCTGATGTGCGGCTTGATCCCAGGACCCTGGGATCATGACATGAGCTCAAGGCAGATGCTTAACGGTTGAGCCACCCAGGGGCCTCCCTGCTTCTAATAATAGGGGAATCTGGCAGCACCCACCACACGCACTTTGGGTAGGTGAAGGGGGCCTGCTTGGAGGTGGTTGCAGACTGTCACCCATTTCCTGGGTTGGGCCTCTTGCAATGTCTCTTCTTTCTCTCCTTCTGATACGTGTGAAATAGAAAAGGAAAACAAAGTCCGGGTTTTCTTCCCATTATCAGCTCACAAAATAACCACGCTTGAGCTGTCTGTGCCTCTCTTAGCTTTGTTCAGTGCGGGTGATGGGGGAGCCAGTCATAACTTGAGAGCAGTGCTAGCAAATAGAATTACAATGCGAGCCACAGATGTGATTTAAAATTTTCTAGTAGGGGCACCTGGGTGGTCAGTCGGTTAAGCGTCTGCCTTTGGCTCAGGTCATGATCCCAGGGTCTAGGGATCCCTGGGATCCAGACTCACATCTATCTGGAGAAGCCTGCTTCTCCCTCTCCCTCTGCGGCAACCCCTGCTTGTGCTCTCTCTCTCTCTCTCTCTCTACCTGGGTCAAATAAATAAATAACAACTTAAAAAAAAAAATCTTCTAGTAGCCACGTTAAAAAGGTTCAAAAAAAGGTGAAAATAACATATGATAATTTTTATTTAACCCCCAAATATTTTCATGATCGTGAATGATTATGATTTCCATGTAGTGTATGATTACAAATGAGTGATAAGATACTTCAGTCCTTTATTCTGGAAATCTCAGTTCAGACTAGCTACGTTGCAAAGGCTCAGTTGCCACATGTGGTCCATGGTTCCCTGACTGGTGCAGATCTAGATGATTCTTCCCCTTGAGGAAAAGTGCAGGCAAGCTGACTTGCTGTGGAGCGGGCTGGATCTCAGGGAGGCCCACGTGGGTTTGCCACTTTGTGAAACTTTACAAAGGTACCCCCTGCCCTGGGGCGAGGAGGGTGAGGGGCGGTGAGGAGGCAGGGAGGGTCAGGGTTCCAGGACGTGTGTTCCTCAGGCTGAGAGGCTGATTTCTAACAATTATTTACCGTCCTGGTTTTAAAAAGTCAGCCCAGCCAGGCCCATGGTCTAGCTGTCCTGAATGGAGCTGGGGCAGGGGAACTCATGAGATTTTTTTCTCCCTTTCCCCCGAGTGGTTTGAAAAGACCTTGTTGGGCGGTGGTAATGCAGCCTAAAAGGTTCCTCAGCTTACACTGATTGCACGAGTCCTTGGTCTCTGTCTGGGTATTATCAAGTAAGTCTGGAGTCCAAGTGGACAGGCAGGCTCCTTGCAGGGCTTTTGAACTGTGTTCCCAAAATAGAAGCTGCGGGGGTAGCTCAGATGGGCATCAGTGAAAGCCAGGAGTAGGAGGTGGCAGTGGGCACAGAACACAAAATATGGATTCTTTTTTTTTTTTTTTTAAGATTTTATTTATTTAACTGATGGAGAGAGAGTGATGGCAAGAGAGGGAACACAAGCAGGGGGAGTGGGAGAGGGAGAAGCAGGCTTCCCGCTGAGCAGGGAGCCGGATGCGGGGCTCGATTCATGGACCCTAGAATCATGACCTGAGCCAAAGGCAGATGCTTAATGACTGAGCCATCCAGGTGCCCCCAAAATGTGGATTCTAACTGGTCGATTAGATGGCCATTGGACAATGGGAGTTCTGAGCGGTCCACCTCTCAAAAGAGAGGCCCCATGGCCCAGTCTCCCTGCTTCTGCTGCATTTCCCCCTCAACCTACTGTCACCTGGGAAGCTGGGCTGACCCTGTCCTCATGCGGAGCTGGTCCTGTCCTTACTATGCACGTGCCTCCAGTGGCCCACCTTCCTCAAACAGCCAAAGTCCTCCCGGATCTCCAAGGCCCTCTCTGATTTCATCACAGCTATCCCTCCCTCACTTGCTCTTGTTTGGAGGCTTTGCATGGGCTGTTCCCTCTGCCTGGAATGCTTTTCTCCCACGTGACTCCCTCCTGCACCTTCTGTCAGGTACGTGTTCAAATATCACCTTCTCAGCAAGAAGCTCTTCCCCAACACCCTATAATCACAACCTTCCCCACTTCCTACCCCCGCCCTATTTTATTTCCTTTATTCTCTTATGTTTCTCTGTAGCAATTATCACCGCCCAGCAGGCTATATATTTTTCTTATCTGTCTGGAATATTGTCTCTTTACTGCCCTAAAACGGAAGCTTCATGACGGAAGGGATTTGAATCTGATTCATGATGTCTCCCCAGTTCCTAAAATAGGCTTGGCGTATAACAGGTGCACGGTGAATGCGCTTTGAATGAATGGTGGAAAGCCTGTGGGTTTGGGAGCTAGATTGACCTTGAAGTGTCAAGCCCCAGCTCCAGCTGGAGAACCAGAGAAAAACTGCTTAAACTGTATGTGTTTCAGGCTCTCCATTTGTAAAATGGGGACAATAAGTACTTAATCTAAATTGTGTGTGTGTGTGTGTGTGTGTGTGTGTGTGTGTGTGTGTGTGTGATTAAATAATATAATTATATTCTTGATTAATTCCAGCAAACATTTATCATTTCCTTTCTCTGTGTGCTGTTCCAGGTGCCAGAGACACTGTGCTGAGCAAAAGAGGTGCTGTTCCCGCCCTCCTGAAGGGCGGCCTGGAGGGCAAGGGGCATAAAGCGGTTTGCAGCTGGGGTGACAGTCCCCTCAGAGAGACATCTTTGGGAGTGTCTGCCCTGTGCACGATGACCGCCTACCCCCCAGGGATGAACCCCAGCAACGAGAATCACATTTTGTGACCCATCCCCCTGGCTGTAGCCGGGGGTGAGCCCCAGACTCAAGCAAGGCCCCAAGTAGTTCTCTTTTGGCATCTTGAAGTCAGACTAGAGATTCTGTTTCAGCTTTGGAGCGGGTACTAATGAGACGCTGAGGCACCATTTGCCAGCTGAGCTGGGGGTGGAAACTGGTCTTCAGAGACGGGTGAGGACAAGAGAGGGAGGGTGGTTTCAGCCAGGCTCTGGTTCAAGTTTGTCTTGAGGCCTGGTTGTATCTCTGCCTGGAGATTTCTGAGACCATCCCCACTCTCACCCCCTTGCCCAGCCCAGTGATAAACTTCCCCTTTTGCCTTAAACTGTCTGGAGCTGGGTTTTGTTACTTGGACTTAAAGAAGGGCTTCCATAGTTCTTCTGCTCAGAGCTAGACTCTCATAGTCCCAACTTGAATATACTTACTCCTCCAGAACACAGAGGCGGTGCTAGGTGAGTCCCAGTCATGAGTCCCAGTCTACACGTGACACCCCTGCCAAATCCCAGTACGTGACACACCCTAGATGAGCAGTAAATGCCAATTCTTGTACAGGATTGGTCATCGTAAGTGATGGCGAGTGTTAGTTCTACCTGCTGCCTGGCGCCCCGCGGGGTTATGTCCTGTGAGTTTGCTCTCTCATCCAGTTCATCTCAA